GCAAAGCCAGGATGAGACACTGGCTGGGTGTTCCCCTGGGAGGCAGAGGTGCTTCCCAAACTGCTGGTGCTGTGCAGCTCTCCAGCTGGACCCTGGGGGGTGGAGAAGCTGACACTGGCCTCAGAGGAGATCCCCTCTCTGCCAGGGAGAAGGTGGGCTCTGAGGCAGTGTCCAGATGCCTGCTGGAGGGCCTGCCAGCTCCTGAACCTGCTCTAGGGCAGAGCAGAGCAGAGTGAAGCAGAAGCAGTGGCTGCTTCTGGGAGCTTTGTTCACGTGCAACCTCCTCTGCCTCCCATCCTGGCAAAGAGCTGCCCAAAATAGCCCCCGTGTGCTGCCAGCTGCTGGCCGTGTCCTTTGGCCGAGTTGGAGGGTCCCCAGCTCCCCCCTGTCTTTTTTTTTGTCGGCAGCTGGGCTGGGCTGGCTCAGTGCCCGGGGCTGCTGCTGCCTCCTGCCAGCTGTGCCCAGCCCCCGGGGGCAGCAGGGAGAGCTGCAGCGTTGTGGAGAGACCTGTGGCTCCACCAGGGAGGTGAACTGATGGGCAGAAGCTGCTTGCTTGGGACACTTGGGCTCCACCAAGCTGCCTGAGGAGCAGCCCAGGGGCTGTGTCCTGCCTCACATTGTACAGGGAGGTGCTGCCTCACTCCCCACCTCCCTGGGGTCTCGTTGGGTGACACCCCCTGTGTTCAGTCGTGTCAAGCAGCATCCTCCAGCACTGTGAGGAGCAGAACCAGCAGAGCCTCCCGTGGGCAAGGGGTGCACACGTGCTGGGGGTGGCAGCTCCCCAAAGAGCTGTTTGAGCAGCCCGTGGGGCCCTGCTGACTGCAGGAGGACAACGCTGGCAGCACCAGAGCAGGCTACAGCCCTGGCACAGCAGGAACAGGCAGCCCTGAGCAGGTCAGACTGGCAGGAGGAGGAGCAGCCCTTGATCCAGCGTTGGAACCAGCGTCTCTCCCTCCTGGAGTTTAGAGATGTCCCAGTTTGCTCTGTTTGAGGGCTCCTGCAGCTGCACTAGGCTGGACTCACCTCTTCCAAAGAGCTGGTGATGAGCCTGGTCAGGAGCTGAGGGAAGCATGGACCGTGGACTCTGGCTGTGCTGGTTTCAAAGTTACTGCTTCTCTCAGGCTCCCAGTAAAACTCCCACACTGGGAGTGGGCAGGGCCTGAAGCATCTTGAGCACATGGAACCATGCAGGACAGACACCTGGGTGGACCACAGGGCAGATGAGGCTGGAGGCTCTCAGTCCAGACAGCTGCTCTTGTCTCCTTCCACCCACCCTGGGGACAGCAGACCCTGTTGCCTCCCCACCCTGCTGCTGCCTGACTGCTCTTTTCTTCTGCAGGATCATCAAAGCTGTGCTCAAGACCTTCAAGTATTTCTTCGGCCTGAGGTTTGAGGTGAAGGGACTGGAGAACTTCGAGGTGGAGGGCCCTGCTATCATTGTGTCCAACCACCAGAGCATCCTGGACATGATGGGTGAGGAGCTGCTGGGAGGGAGGGAGCAGTTCAGCAGTTCTCTTGCTCCCCATCGGAGCAGTCCTGCTCACATCTGGCCTGAGTGCCCTGCCCCAGCTGCTCTGTGCTGCTGAGCCAGCTGCTCCAGCTCTCTGTGCTGGGTCTGGCTGTGACCTGCAGCCCCCTGCCCCTGTACTGCTGTGTGCCACAGCTCCTGCTCTGCTGGTGGCAGCAGAAGCCAGCAGAGAAGCAAGGCTCTGGCGTGTCCCTGGTGGTCCCCTCCACACCTCGGATGTCTCTCCTGTCCCGTGTGGGCGCAGGCAGGGGGTGGCTGCTGGGTCTCACCCTCTGCCTCCCCCTCAGGGCTGATGGAGATCCTGCCTGACAACTGTGCCCAGGTGGGCAAGAAGGAGCTGATGTATGCTGGCACGGTGGGGCTCATCATCTACCTCGGCGGGGTCATCTTCATCAACAGGAAGAGCACCACCAGCGCCAAGATGGTGATGGCAGAGGTGGCCAAGACCATGGTGACTGACAACGTGAGTGTGGCTGTGGTGCTTGGCGGGGTGGCACCTGGCTGGGCATCCTTGGGGTGGCACCCGGGGGATGTGGGACCCCTGGAGCTGGCTCTCCTGTGAGGCAGGCTGGTGGCTCGGCCAGCAGGAAGGGAGCTCTGGCTGTGGGTGGATTGCTGGAGCAGAGACTTCTCTCCCCATGGGCAGGTGAAGGTGTGGGTGTACCCAGAGGGCACGAGGAACTGCACGGGGGATTTGCTGCCCTTCAAGAAAGGAGCCTTTCACCTGGCTGTGCAGGCCCAGGTAAGAGTGCTGTGCTCCTGCACCCCTGGGTGCCTCTGAGCTGGCCACGCAGTGCTGGGGTTGATTTGCTCTCCAGGGAGCTGTGTTCCCAGCTCAGACCCGAGCTCCTCAGCTAAACCACCTTGAAGTGTCCTAAGTGCTGCCCAGCGGGAGCCAAGAGCCTTTTCCACGCCCCCAGGAGTGGGTGTGTGGCTGCAGACAGGGGAGAAGCTGCCGTGTCTGTTCTCCTGCCTGCCCCCACGCTGCGTTCCCGGGCTGCGTTCCCGGTGTCCCCCCTGACGTGGGGGACAGGGACACTTGCCCCCCGGCCCTGGGCTGTGCAGGCAGCTGCCTGGCAGCGCGGCAGGGCAGCCCTGAGGCCCGGAGGTTGGTTCTGGGCGGGGGCCGGGCTCTGAGCTCTCCCGGGGAATCCCGCGGCGGCCTCGGAGTCTCTCAGTCCCCAGGGGGCAGCACTCAATTTGGGATTGCTCGTGCTGGTGAGTTGGAGTAGCCTAAGCCCTGGGCTTGCTCTGTGTGGGAATGGCTGCTCCCTCCCAGGAAGCCCTCTCTGGGTGGCTGAGATCCCTTCTCTCTCCCAAACTACACGGCCTGTGGGCAGTTAGTGGAAGAGCAGACAAACATCACCTTGGCTGTTTGTCAGGGCTGCCAGGGCTCCTGAAGGAGCAGTGCTGTTTGCCTGGGCAGAGCCCCGGGGCCCTGTGCCAGGAATGCTGAAGACCTGGCAGTGCTCTGTGCCCAGGAGGCTGCTGGAACCCGAGCTCAGCTCCCAGGGGCTGGGGACAAGGTGCCAGAGAGGCAGCTGGGAGGAGATGGGTGGCTTATCCTAGAATCATTATGATTGGGAAAGACCCCTGAGATCATCAGGTCCAACCATCAACCCAACGCTCCCATGACCACTAATCCATGTCCCCAGGTGCCACGTCCACATGTTTTTGGAAGACCTGCAGGGCTGGGGACTCCAGCACCTCCCTGGGCAGCCTGGGTCAAGGCCTCACCACTCTGCCAGGAGAGAAATTCTTCCCAATATCCAGTCTAAACCTCCCTTAGTGCAACTTGAGCCAATTTGCACTTGTCCTATCACTAGTAACCTGGGAGAATAGGCCAGCTCCCACCTCACTACAACTACTTTCAGGTAGTTGTAGAGAGCAATAAGGTCTCCCCAGACTAGACAATCCCAGTCCCCTCAGCCACTCCTCATAAGGTGTGTTCCCCAGACCTTTCACCAGCTTCATGGCCCTTCTCTTGCCTCCCTGTGCCTTCTCAGCCTCACTTCTCAGGGCTGGGATGACTGGAGGCCTGGGGGACACTGCTTTTGCTAAAAGAGATGTCCTAGCAGCATCCTGGAGAAGGGAGTAGGTGCCAGATCTCCTGCTGGGTGGGACTGGCCAAGCCCAGGGCGTAGCCTGCTGGGTGCCATCCCCATTCCTGTGGGGCTGAGGCAGCCAGGGCTGGGGCTGACCTGAGCCTGAGGTGTAACCTGGCCCTAGTGCCTTGGATGTCCCTGTGCCTTGAGTTGCTGGGGGTGGTTTCCATCCCATTTGACTCCTGGTTGTCCCAGCCTTTGGAAGCAGGTGTTGCTTCTGGGGCTCTGTGCCTGAGAGCTGGGCCAGCTCAGCTCTGGCCTGCCTTGAGTTGCTGCAGGGCAAGTAACTCCTCCTCTTCCTCTTCTTCCCCAAGGTCCCGGTGATCCCCGTGGTGTATTCATCCTTCACTACCTTCTATAACCCAAAGAAGAACCTATTTACATCAGGTACCAAGGGGTCTTCACAGACCCTTCTGGGGGTCTTCACAGTCACTTGGCGACAGGGTGGTGTGGAGATGCAGCTCACAGGGCTGGGAGAGGGGA